TTACTATAACTCTGTTTCCTACACTCTTACTATAACTCTATTCCTACACTCATTACTATAACTCTATCCTACACTCTTAACTATAAACTCTTATCCTACCACTCTTATCTATGAACTCTGTCCTACACTCTTACTTATAACTCTATCCACTCTTTACTAATAACTCTATCCTACACTCTTACTATAACTCTGCTCCTTTTTTTTTAACCACCTCTTACCTATAACTCTATCCTACACTCTTACTATAACTCTTCCTACACTCTTACTATAACTCTATCCTACACTCTTACTATAACTCTTATCCTACACTCTTTACTATAAACTCTATCCTACACTCTTACTATACTCGTGTCCATACACTCTTACTATAACTCTAGTCTACACTCTTACTATAACTCATATCCTACACTCTTACTCCTAACGTCTGTCCTACACTCTTACTATAACTCTATCCTACACTCCTACTATTAACTTCTTATATCCTACACTCTTACTCATAACTCTATCCTACACTCTTATTTTTTTTTTTTTTTTTTTTTTTCTATAACTCTGTCTCGCTACACTCATTACTATAACTCTATCCTACACTCTTACTATAAACTCTGTTCCTACACTTCTTACGTAATAACTCTAATCCTACACCCCTCTTACTATAACTCTATCCTACACTCTTACATTATAAAACCTATCCTACACTCTTATATAACTCTCGTCCTACTCACTCTTACTATAACTCTGTACCTACACTCTTTTACTATAACTCCTATCCTACACTCTTACTCTAACTCTGTCCTACACTCTTACTTCATAACTCTGCTCCTACACTCTTACTATAACTCTATCCTACAACTCTTACTATAACTCATCTACACTTACTTACTATAACTCTATCCTACACTCTTACTATAACTCTATCCTACACTCTTACTAGAACTCATATCCATACACTCTTATAGAACTCTGCCCTACACTCTTACTCTAACTCTATCCTACACTCTTATTTAACTCTATCCTACACTCATTACTATAAACTCTAATACCTAATCCACTCTTACTATAACTCTATCCTACACTCTTACTATAACTCTGTCCTACACTCTTACTATAACTCTATCCTACACTCTTACTATAACTCTATCCTACACTCTTACTATAACTCTATCCTACACTCTTACTATAACTCTGTCCTACACTCTTACTATAACTCTATCCTACACTCTTACTGTAACTCTATCCTACACTCTTACTGTAACTCTATCCTACACTCTTACTATAACTCTATCCTACACTCTTACTATAACTCTGTCCTACACTCTTACTATAACTCTATCCTAAAGTTCGGTCCTACACTCCTACTCTAATTCTATCCCAGAGTTCTGCCTCACACTCCTACCTTCACTCTAATATCCTAATGTCCTACTATAACTCCATTTCATAGTTCTGCCCTAACTACATCCTACACTGCTACCTACCCTGCCTCAGGGTCATGCTGGGTCATAACCGTCTAGTCCCGTGGTTCTTAACCCTTTGGGAATCTGGTTAAAGCTACGGACCCCCTCAGAAAAATGCACACAAGCATTTCAATAGCATAGCCATTTCAACCTACCTTACAGATCTACTAGTCTTCAGTAAGCAAGAATAAGTACATAACATCCTGTACATAAACAAAAATAAAACTTGCTAAAAAAAGCTAGCTTGCTTGCTTAAATAAAAAGCTAGCGAAAACGAATTGTGATTAATTTTCATGCGCTTGTTTCATGCGCTTGTTTTCATGCGCCTGAAGGCCATCCACGGACTCCAAAGGGGTCCATGGGCCACAGGTTGAGAACCACTGGCTTTAGTCATACACGGCCTTCAGTGCAGGGAACGTGCGCATGCGCAGTCGCTCCACCTCCCGTCGCAGGAAAGTGATCTCGGCGCCCTGCGCCCGCGCGAGCGCCGCCGTACGGTGACGCCGCACGATGTCGCGATAGCGCCGCTCGCGCTGCCGCCTGGTGGGGCCGTCGCCGACGCGCGTGCGGCCGACGTTGCGCCGCTCGTTCACGCCGACGTTCAGCTCAGCGGCGGCGACCTCTAGCGACTCGTTCTCCGCCCGCTTCTTTTCGGCCGCCATCTTGAGACGCGCAAGCGTGCGGCGGCGCGCGGCGACGGCGCGCAACCGCTCGCTGTCTTGCGCCACCAGGGTGCGCTCGAGAGTGCGCAGCTCGTGCGCCTGCCTCGCGCTGACGTTGGCGTCGTTGCCATCGGCCGCTAGGTGGCGCTGCACGTCGCGGCTGACGTGCAGTGTTTGGATGTCGCGGATGCGAGCGTGGGCGTCGTCGACGAGCATGCTCGTGCGCTGATGCTCCCACTCCAGACGAGCGATGCCAACACGGAAGTCCTTGCTCTCCACCATGCTAGCAATCTTCGCAGCGGCAAAGGAGCGGATCACCTATAAACAGACGGTTGCCACGGCAACGTAAACGGTGATATTAGTAACGAGAGCAGATCACCTGTAAACGGACAGTCGCCATGGAAACAAAAAGTTGACGTGAGGAAAAGTAAGTGGATCACACAAATATCAGCGAGCATAAAATATCATCGTATCTGCTAAAACAGGCATGATATGAGGAAGACACATATGAGGAAGACGTTTTAAAACAAAACAAAAACAAACGGAGTCAATGGTGACATTAGAGAAACTAATGCAGTCTTAGTAAAACGGTAAAGTATATTATGAGCTTGAAATAAACCACAACCTCCATCACCCCAACCCCTGACCCTATCCCCACAACCCCCTGACCCTTGACTCTATCCCCACGACCCCCCTGACCCTATCACCACAACCCCCCTGACCCTATCCCCACGACCCCTGACCCCATCCTCACGACCCCCCGTACACCCGACCCTATCCCCACGACCCCTGACCCCACCCTGACCCCCTTAACGCGCTCACCTTGTTGAGTTCATCGACTGCGCTGCGATGTACGAGCACGCTACCCGCATAGTCCGGTGCGAGCGGGCCGGCTGCCACGACCTCCACCTGACCTTGCTTGAGCAGCAGCTGCACGCGCAGATCGCACGCGAGGCGGGACCGTCGCTCGGCTAGCGAGCTCAGCGCGCGCACCGTGTCCTCGATCTCCCGCTGCGCACGCTCGTCCGCCTCCTGCCGCCGCTGCAGCAGCGCCGCGAGGTCGGCAAGCGCCAGCGCCCTCTGGCGAAGCGTCTGCTCGCTGTCGATCTTCGCGCGCCGCGCCGCGCACAGCCGCTCCCAGGTGGCGATCTCGACGCCTTCCGGCATGTTCGCGATCGCGTCGAGTTCGTCGACGGCCGCCGCCAGCGCCTCCTGGTGACCGCGTTGCAGTTGCGCCGTCGAGGGCCGCTTCGAGAGGGCGCCGCTGGCAGCGCTGGGTTTCTCGGCGCTTCGGCTGCGCGGAGGCGCAGGGTTGCGCAGTCCCTTTGGCCGACGCCGGTACAGCTTGTACAGCTGCTCCTGATGAAAGATGGGCAGGTCGGCAAAGTCTCGCTTGAAGGCCTTGTCAAGGACCTTGTCTTCGGCGACATGGATATCGTAGGCCTCGCGCAGCGTGTCCGTCTGCTGGCGAGCATCCAGCGCCTGCGCCTGCGCCATCTGCTTCCCACGCTTACGCTCCACGAGATGGCGGCCGAGACGCGTCTCCCATGCCGCGATCTGCTGCGTCTCGACGAGCGAGGCGGCGAGGCGCACGATCTTCAGCTCCTCCTGGTGGACCGCCATCTCGGCAGCGAGCTTCTCGCGGAACAACTCGGCGACGGCGTCGTCGAACGCCGCCGCGTCGTCGGCAATGCCCGTCGCCAGCTTCTTGAGCTCGGCGTCGAGCTGCTTGCGGTATTTCTCGCGCTCCTCCTGCCGCTCGCGCACGCGCGCCTCGTAGTCGCGCGACGCCCGCTGCTCCTCCTCCGTCCAATCAGCCGCGTCCGGTTTCGCGGCAATGAACGCTGGCTGCGGCACGTCCTTCTTCAGCTCGTCCTCGAGTCTCACCTCGAGAACGCCTCCCATCATGTCCACCAGGGCGCGCTCCCGCGCCGTCGCGCCCTTCTGACGCGCCTTCCGCGCCCGCAACTCGTCGTCGGCCTCGATCTGCCTCCGCATCGCCGCGGAGACGTAACCGTCGGCAACGGCGGCGAGTTCGTAGTCGCTGACGACGAGCATCGTCTCCGGTTTCTCGGCGACGTGAACCGCGGGCTCCCAGAGGGCGTCGGTGTAGCCGAGGTCGTCTTGAATCGCGCGGATGCGCCGGTTCTTCTCCTGCACTTTCACGACCTCGGACTCCTTGTGCTTGAAGGTGGCGTCGAAGCGAGCGTTGAAGCGCTGTTTGATGCGATGGATCGCATCACGCAGCAGTACGATCTGATCCTGCTTCTGCTCGCTGGTATTCAGTGCAAACTGGCTGTGCAGCAGCTCGCTGCCACCCCCGCGCTCCGCCCCAAAGCTGCCCAGCAGCGCAGCACCCTCGCTTCGCTCACCTTCGTCCGTGTCATACGCGTCGTCATCGTCGAGCATGCTCACTTGTTGTCCCCGCGGGTCGCTGACGATGTCCCGGCTCGCCGCTGCCTCGCTGATCTCGATCTTGCGCGTGCGCGTCACGCCGGAGAGCTCAGCGAGCTCTCGCGCTGTCCGGGCGCGCAGCGGGTAGTTCGATACCTCGACGGCGGCGTGGAACGATCGGATTGCACGACCTTTCACCTCCATCTCGTCCCAACACTCGTTCTTAATCACCTCGCGTACAAACGCACTCGCAAGGTTCGACATCTCGTATTCGGCGCGCATGCACGCGATCGCACGCTCTTCGTCGCCGCGGCGACGTGCCTCTTCCTCGAGGTCGAGTTCAAACTCGTGGCGAGGCAGACGCTCGGTGTCAGGCAGGCGGTCGTTGTCGGCAAGCATCGCGTGAAGCTCGGCGCGGATCGCCGCCGCCTGCTCACATATCGCACGCTTCTCGTCCGCCACGCCCACCTCCTCCCGCTCCGCCGCCTCCCGTCGCCGCGTCTCCACCCACGTGCAGTCGCCGCCGGCAACCACAGCATCGGCAAGCGCAGTGAGAGCAGGCATCTCGAGCTCGCGCGACGGACGCAGCCGCGATGCGTGCGCGTCGGCTGCGGCGGTGGCTGCTGCTAGCGCCTCGCCGTCGCCCGTGTAGTTCCAGCGGCTGCATACGATGGCGCCGTCGTAGCCGAGCGTGAGCACATGGCGGGCGTCGGCGGATACGGCGAGGGAGCGGACGCCGCCGAGCGAGGGATCGTGCGGCGCGTTGTAGACGGCCCGCTCCATCGCGTCGACCATGCGCGCGATGAGCCTCCCGTCCCGGCCCGCCGTGTACAGCCAACGCTCGTGCAGCGACAGTGCCACCTGTCCTCCCGCCAGCTCGTGCGCGGACACCTCCATGACCGGCGCGAGTGCGTCGTTGCCGCCGCCGCCCTCTGCGACGAGGAACTTGACGACGTTGCGACTCGCAGCGGAGAGCGTGTAGGCGGAGCCATCAGCCGCGCACGCGAGACCGTGGTGGAGGCCGTCGAGCGTGAACACGCGCGTCCCCAGCTTGTCGTCGCACAGCTGGCCGAGCGCGTCCACGTGGTGCTGCACCGGCGCCCTCTCGAGGGCGGTCGCCGGGAGGTCGACGCGCAGCAGTCTGTCTCCGCCCTCCGCGGCGGCATCGCTGGATGCGTTCACGAGCAGCACGAGGCGTGCTGTTCCCGCATCGCCACCCGCGACCGTTGCCGCTGCCTCCACGCGCCCGCCCGCGTCCAGCCACCCGAGCACGCTGAAGCCCTTCCCAGGTTTGCCGCTGAGCACGTAGACTGCCGCCGACTCCTCCTCAGCCGCGCACAGCAGCAGCGTGCCGCAGCAGCTGAAGTGTAGAGTCGCAACCGCCGCGTCGCGGAACAGGTAGCGACTCGAGATGACGCGCGGAGCCTCGCGTCGCGAGACGTCGACGAGCGCGACGCATCCCGTCGCCGTGCCGACGGCAGCGAGCGGCAGCAGCGGGCTGCACGCGACGACGGCGCACGCGACCCCGAGGTCAACGCGGCCGATCTCGCGGCCCGACACGGCGCTCCACGTCTGCAGCGTGCCGTCCCCGCACACGGATACGCAGTGACCGCTGTCCAGCCAGGCGCAGGAAACCGCGCCGACCCGTTGCTCCTCGAAGTAACTTGCGCATGGCTGCCACTTGGCGGTGTCCAGTACCCGCACGGTGCCCCAGCGGCACCCCGCAGCCACCGTCTCGCAGGTGGGCCCGACTGACAGCGACGTGACAGGCCCGCCGACGCTCGCGACGGTCTGTGGCGCCCTCTTTCTCGTCCCCGCAGCGTCGAGCAGCCGTATTGTTCCGTCGTTCCCGCCGAGAAGCACACCTTGCTTGCTCAGCGCGACGCAGGCGCAGG